AGAAAGAAAGAAAGAAAGAAAGAAAGAAAGAAAGAAAGAAAGAAAGAAAGAAAGAAAGAAAGAAAGAAAGAAAGAAAGAAAGAAGATACAGCATTTAGGTGGTGATGGTGGTGAGTATGAGATGAGGATGAGGATACTTACAGGTACTGATCAAGCACATCATGAGAAGGAACACTTTGAAAAGTGACCTCATTTGAAAGAAAGAAGACCTGATAAATAATAGCCCCAATGATTAAGTCTCCAGACTGATAATACTTGTGAACATTTGGAAGAGGATGAGTGAGGTTGCAGTTGTGAACAGGAGAAATGCACATCATCGTAGGAGAAAAGAATAAAACCAGAGTTCTGAAAAGAAAGAACTCAGTATAAAATATGGTCATTGTAGACATCAAAGTGTAGCTCCAATGTTACCATTCAACTGAGGAGCTGGGTTGGAATTAACCAGCCTCTCATGAAAGTGAAGATCATGAAGTATCTCACCTCAAACAGGCATTCCTGTTCTCCCTTCAGGCAGTTGTCTATTTCTGAGCTTATTTTAATGGAATGGATTGTAATGTTTGAGCCTGAGCTCATTGTTTTTTCAGAGTCTACTGGGATTCCCTGGAGACATGGAGAAGGAGGGACAATGGTGATACTAATTTTATAATTACTTGGGAGATAATAGCTTACTTTCAATAGTACTTTCTTTGAAAAATGTCAAAAGGAAACATGTTCGTTTTATCTCCATAGAACACCCGCACTGCTGTTAACTTTTAAAACTTAGACATGAAGCAGAAAGTGCTGCACCGTATGCACAAAGAGAGGAAAACTTTGGGACACTTTTTTTCCAAAGATGCTACCATGTTGGGCAGGTCCATGTCTATAACCAGGTTCCAAACTTTCTTGATTGATGCACCCTTTAAAAAGAACAGAAGTTCATTTGCTGAGGTCGTTTTGTCATTCCTCTGCTTAATGCAGGATCTGCTATGAAGAGTGGCTGAATAATAGGACTGCTTCAGGTCTAGGATGGTTTGAAAGAGGGAAATAATGCTGAAGTCATGCTATGAGCCAATGAATTAAGATGTACTTATGCTCTCCTTAAAGAGCAGGTCTATCTGTGACTCTCTCTCCCTCTCTCTGAAATCTATCATCAATCATCATTTACCCATTTCTCTTGATCTCTAGCTATCTACATATCCTGATAATTAGGAAAGGAAAGAGGTTTATGGAGGAGAAAAGTTCCCTGGACATTGAAAGGACCCTTCAGCCACAAGTGTTATGTGTATCTTTACTTTCTTGGTGCTGTCCAACTTCCTGACTTGTCTGCCTTTCATGGGACTCTTCATGCAGAGGAAAAAAGAGACAAGTTACATTATCTGTCATGGTGTCATAGAGCAAGAGTAAGTTACATACCTGTGTCCTTTTCCTTCATGGCATAGAGTGACCAATGTTTGTGGAAGTGTTCCATGGCGTCACTTTACATTATGGGGGCCTTGACTGGATGCCTAAGTTGCTTTCCATCCAAGAATCTGCAAGACTGAAGGACTGTTGTGTCTTCCTCCAGATAGACCAAGAGAGAGAGATGAGAGGGAGGTAGAGGGAGAGGGAGAGAGATTTAGATTTAGAGGTGTGTAGGGAGGGGCATATATAGATAAAGATTCCCTGAATAACCGCATGTCCTTAGTAAGATGTTAGTGCACATGTAAGGGTATGGATATGAATAGGAGTGAGTAGGGATAGGAACAGAAGTAGAGATTCATCAAATAATTTCATGAGACAATTTTGTGTACTGGCTAAGGCATTAGGCTAGAAACCAGGAGACTCTGAGTTCAAGTCCCACCTTCAGCATAAATCCAGCTGTGTGACCTTGGGCCAGTCACTCTCTCTCTTGGCCCTAGGAAGAAACCAATGACACTTCCCCATATCTTGCCAAGAAAATTTCAGAGACTAGTCCAGAGAGTCACAAGGAGTTAACACTGAATTGAGGGAATAATAATACAGTAAGAATAAAGATTTCATGTCCTTAATGCTCGTATCACCATTACTTCAAGAGTTATAAGGATTACCACTGGTTTTACTAGGTGCACTTCAAGTAGCTGAATATCATCTATAAAGCTGTCCATAACTCAGAAACCAAGAAAGAGAGACTACACCCTTTTTTTTTTGCAAGGTATCAGTCATACTCCAGAATAGGTATATGTTGGGTCTCCAAGACCTTAACACCATCCATCAAAGAACTACAAGTTCTCCGAATGATTTATGCAAATCACAACCCAATCTCAAAAATAGGGAGCTGTGGGGAAAGACTACACTTCAGGTGAAAAATGAATGATGGCTTATTACTTCATGATACTGTCCTACAAAAATGTAAAAAGGAATTGAATTTCTGCTTTAAAACGAATACAACACCAGGAAACCCCCTTACCACCATATTGGAAACTAGTAAAGCATATAGGAGGGGCCTTTTAACTCAATTAGCGGCTAAACATTAAAAAAGAGAGAGAGAAGATGATTAATGAAAAGAACAATTCAATGCCAAAATAGGAGAATGAAAATATGAGAGGCATGATGAACCTGATGAAAAGGTGATTAAAAAACTTTATGGACATTTACTAGAATTTAGGTTAAAGAAACAATGATTACATGGGGGAAAAATTTTGGATATGGAATTGATTTAGAGAGGTGGCAAAAACTATGGTCTCAAAACTATAAAATGACAATGTCAACTGCATATAAAGAAAACTTGTATAAGAAGTTTTATAGGTGGCATTTACCCCCAGCGAGGATCGCAAGAATGTGTAAGAACAAGTCTGATAAATGTTGGAAGTGTTATCAGATACCTGGCTCATATTACCATATGTGGTCGACATGTTCAGAAGCCAAAAGATATTGGATTAAAATCCACACATGGTTGGAAAAAATGACAAAACAACACATAGACTTTAAACCAGAGACATTTTTACTGGAAATTATACCAGAAACATACAGTAAAGAATTGAAATATCTGATTGTAAATGTC